TGAAAGCGGACCAAGGACATCTTTTTCCAGTGCGGCTGGAAAGCTGCCATGGAGAAAGTTGGTCTTGGTCAGGATTCTGACATGTTCATCAATCCGCCTACTACCTATATCCCGGTCTACATGCAGGCGACTCCAAGGCCACCCAAAACCGGCTCATCGCGGGGCAAGGAAAGAGGCCAAGGAAGAAGCTGCCACCGCGAAACAAGCCGAGCAAAATCCTCCCGAAGCATCTCCAGATGCGGAGGAAGTGGCTGATCGGGATGTTACCGTGGTGGAAGACACTGACGATTGACGCCGAAAAAAACCTGCCCGAGCACAATGTGGAGGAGGCCGAGCAAACTGTGCAAGTCGCCGAACAAACGGTTGACGTAGAGTGGATTGACCATTTTTTTTTTTTTTTGAATGTAACCGGGCTATGCCCCCCGTCTTGTACTTAAATTTCCTTTATCAATGAAAATTTTCGACTTTTGCTCGCTCTATCTTCTATTGCTTTTTGGCTTCAATGTGCAAATTTCCTTAAACGTGTTCAAACTTCAACTAGCAGCTCGACTCCTTGAAATTTCAAATGCACCTTTTAAAATGCCGAGCAAAATCTGCTCGGCCTTGACGGTTTTCAAACGTTATAAATTCCAGTACTTCAATGTGACCCAACAAAGTCAGCTCGGCTTTTTATCGGTTGGACAAAACACCAACATGCTAAATCTGGCCGAGCAAAGTCAACCGGCCGCTACATTAGGCAAAACACCAATGTTTCATTTGGTTGGTCATGTCGCCAACATTTCTTTTCCGCCGAGCAAAGTCAGCTCGGCTTTTATTGGCTCGTTTTTCCATATTGGACAAGACACCAATACGCCGTTTGGGCCGAGCGAATCAGCTCGGCCCTTACATTGGGCAAAACACCAATGTTTCAGGTTGGCCATGACGCCAACATGCGACGGGCGAGCATATTCAGCTCGGTCCCAATGCGAATTGGTCCATACGCCAATTATGTCGTCGGACAATGCAACTGTTTGTGCGGTCTGCTTCCATTCCGACGAGTGGGAATCAGTCCGGTCCCATTCAGGTCAGTTCCTTTGCCCCTGGCATTCATAATTGCCTTGCGTCCTTGCGAATTCATTGTACAAAGATGTAATACCAAACAACAGAGGGCTAATTTTTCATTACAAAAACATTGCTATCGTTTACATCGAGTGTCAAAAGGCTAAAGGTCTAGAAAAGCTAAACAACACAAGCAGATTACATCCTAAAAGTAAAAGACCTTAAGGTTGGCCGCATTCCATGGTCTGGGGACAGCCTTGCCATCTAAATCTTCCAGATGGTATGCCCCTTACCAGCAAAACCAATCACCTTGTATGGTCCTTCCTAATTTGCACCGAGCTTTCCTTCGTCGGGGACCACCGTATTGCCAAGCACCTTCCTTAAGACCCAGTCCCCAATCTTGAATAGCCTGGGGTGTACTGCCTTGTTGTATTTTTTGGAGAGTTCTTATTGATAAACCGCTATGTGGACTAAAGCCCGCTCCCTTCTTTCCTCGGCCAGGTCTAGCTCTAGCGCCACTGCTTCATTGTTCAGATCTGGCTCCGAATTCTCAGACCGGAGGTTGGCATGCCAATTTCCAGCGGGATGACGGCCTCCATGCCATAGGCCAAGGCAAATGGTGTCTCTTCGGTCGACCGCCTTGGTGTGGTGCGGTATGCCCAAAGCACATTAGGAGTTCTTCAGCCCACTTCCCCTTGGCCTTCTCAAGCCGCTTCTTCAACCTGTCCAGGATGGTCTTGTTCGACACCTCGGCTTGACCGTTGGACTGTGGGTAAGCCGGTGTGGAGTTGTAGAATTCAATCTTCAACTCTTTGCAAAATCCGCGAAAGAGTTTTCTATCGAATTGAGGTGCCGTTATCCGAGATGAGGGCCTTGGGTATACCGAAACGGGTGATGACATTTTTCCATAAAAACTTCTTCACATCCTTTTCCTTTATGGTCGCCAACGGCTCGGCCTCAACCACTTCGTGAAGTAGTCAGTGGCGGCGATGAAGAACTTGCGATGCCCGGCGCAGCTGGGAGTGGCCCCAACAATATCCAACCCCCAAAGCGCAAACGGCCAAGGACTTGTGAGAGGAAGCAAATCTCTAGCCAGCTGGTGGATCTGGTGGGCGAACTTTTGACACTTCTCGCACCTGCGAACATTATTTTTGCGCATCTTCCTGCATGCGCGGCCACCAATATCCCTGAGAGATTGCTCAGTAAGCCAAGGATCTGCCCCCAGTATGGCTGCCACAGATGCCCTCGTGTATCTCGTAGAGGAAAGCCTCCACCTTAGTGGGTGGACACATTTCAAATATGGCCCAATGAAAGATTTTTGTACAGTCCCGGACGGGGAG